GAAATGGCGGGCTCCCCGCGCCTAGGCTTCCCAGAAGCGGCCAGAACGCCGCAAAACACTCGGGCCTTTGCAGGAGAACTTTGCTCAGTCGCCTGCGGTCATGACCGGGCGAGCCCCGGCTCTTCATTGCCGTGCTCCCAGCGCCCTGCTTTCACAGGATCGCCTGAGGGAGATGGTGCAGTCCGACCCGCCTGCGCAAAGCAGCGTGGGCCAGAGCAGGCTGCTACAGGGGGTTTTGCCCTTTACCCAAGCGTACGGGTAATTTTTTCCAGGTTTTAGGCTAGTCCACACCTGTCCTGAATCAAAGATGAACTGGGCAGCTTTGGTTCGGCAGGTGATGCTGGTGAAAGGCTCATCTCCAAACGCCTCTTTGCAGTGTGGGTGTAGAGGTCTCCCAGCAGAGGTGCACGAGTTTGGGGCTTAAGTGGCCAAGTACTTGAGAAGTACTAAAGAGCAGAAGAAATAATGTGTAAAAATACGAGTTTGGGGCTTTAATGGCCAAGTACTTGAGAACTACTAAAGAGCAGAAGAAATGCTGTGTAAAAATACGAGTTTGGGGCTTTAATGGCCAAGGACTTGAGAACTACTAAAGAGCAGAAGAAATACTGTGTAAAAATACTTACATATTTTTAAGGCCAAATCTCAGGCAGCATCAGCAAATGTTTACCCAAACTGAGCAAAAACATGGTTTAACAAAAGCAGCATGGTTTAACAGGGACAAAAGGAGCAATAAACACATTGCTTCTTGACCACAGAAGAATAATTAGTTGGATTATTTTGGTGCAGAGATGAGATAGAAAAGGCTTTCTATACTGCAGAGAACTTACCCTTTCTTTAAAAATTATTCAGTAAGAACTTTCTTTGCTCATCATGAGCTGACTGTAGAGCAAAAAAGATACGTGGTCTCTAATGATGATTTTTTGGGGGAAAAAAGCCACTCGCCGGTCGTTTTCTTTCAGCAGAATTTAATTTACTGGTGTTTCTGACAGCAGGCAAAGAGCTGCTCTGCCCAGCAGAGGCCAATAGCGAGAACTCAGCCATTCAGTACGTGGTGGGCTTACACCGCTTCGAAATGAACAGACATTATTTTAGTTTCCAAATGGCAGTGCTCCTAGTGCTCGGTAAGGGAGCTGATTTGAGGACAGGTGGATCTTCTGCACATGCTTCACCGTGGATTTCCAAGGGAGTCTGGTGTGTGTAGTGTTCCTGGTTTATATTTGACTAGGAGCACTTCCAAGAATCTCTGTTCACGCACTTGTTTGGACAAGGGCCCATTGCATCACCTCAGTTAGCTTTTGCACTGCTTTCCCTCCTGCTCTGTTTTTATACTCTTCTTTCTTAATTTGTCACGCTAGCAGGTAAACGGAGAGAAAGTGAATTTATCTTCTGAAACGCATTTTAAGTTGCTGCCATTTATCTAAAGCACCTACTTCATCCCCTTCAGTAAAATAATGATGTTGTTCATTAGTTCCTCTAGCTGCTCATGGCTAAATGTGCTATAGTCAGATTGCCCTTTTTTTTTCCTCCTATCAGCCACTTATGAAAGTCAAACAATTGTAATAATGCTATTGGGGTTTTTTTGGTAGACTCTCAATTCTGCTGATGTTTTTAAATAAAATAGCTTTAGATGAATGGGACTTGGTTTTTCATGTCCAAGCAAACATTGTACTGTTGGCACACTTCAGTTAATGTCTACATTTTTCCCCTGACTTTTTCGTTACTCTCAAATTGAATGTTTAGAACAGTTCTTCTTCCATCCCCTTCCTCTTTTGGAACAGATTCCATTGGTTTTAGGTATTGTCCGAGTTTTGGCTTAGTTATTTAATTGGATATACCTATGTTTAAAACGGTTACAGAACAATTGGCAATAGGTTGAGTATACAGCACGCTTAAAGAGCGTATTGGAGTCGGCCATTAGCTCTTCTTGTGCAAATGGTGCTTTTCAGTTTATGTCGTGCTGTAATTGAGATGCTACAACTAGGTCTTGAGTTCTGTTCTTGTAACTGTTTTTCACAGAGCAAGATTGCTTAAGCTTCCGCGTTTCTGAGCCCCTTTGTAAGTCCCAGGCAAACCTTACCATTGAGAAGCAGGCCAGCTGTTGACCTAGAATGTGAGGTTCTTGTTTTAAATTCAGCCTCGTCACAAGTTATTTTTGATTTTAGAACACTTTGAAAGTCAGATTTTTATATGTTAACCATCTAACAGGAAGGCTAGGAAGGACATTTAGTGAGTAACAAGGTATATACAACTCTGGAGCCTGAGAAATAGTTAGTTATTGGATGAGAAACCTGTACATCTAGTTTAACAGTTGCACTAATGAAGCCTTAAATTTCCATCTGTCTCTCTAGGAAGATGGAAATCTCCCTGCCCTCCATGAGTTCCATGTTAATCAGTTTACAGGCAGGAGATCAGCATCCTGGAAGGTGGAACCACAAAATTTGGGTAGCATAAATGTGGCCCCCAGATCTAGAAAAGCTACTCAAAGCTCTAAGGCGAGACAGATCAACAACCGTACTCCTTCAGTATAACTAAAATCTCATGTATGGAACAGGCAGAATTTTACTCAGACTGAGGAGTGTGTGTCTGTAAGAGGTAAGGGCTGTCATAACCTCGCTTTCCATGCCACAGGTAAGGCGAGTTACTGAAACCTTGCTTTCTTTAACATAAATATGTAGTTATGGTCTAGAAAGAGAGAAAACAGGAAACAAAATCCTAAGTGCTTCACCCAAAGAAAAAATCCAGTCCAAAACCCAACAAACAAACCTGAGTCCCTTTCCATAGTAGCATTGCAGTGAATGTGCTCCTTCCCTTGGGGGCAAGTATGAGAAAACAAACGACACAAGAGAAAGTCTAGCCTGTTTAAATTTGCAAGTGGGAGGTGTGCAGACGTTGTAGTTGTGAGTACTTTATAAGAACCTGCGTAGAACAGGCTAGTATGTATTTTCCACATTGTATAATGGTTGCGTACTGAGAGACTCCCAAATGCTTCGTGTGGCAATTCACAGTTCTGGCGTGTTGTCTTTGCAAAATGATTGGCAGACCCTCAGGTCGCACATATCTGAAGTAAACTGTGTCCTGCTCAGTTACTGAGAGGTCTGTGGATGCTTAAGTGTGTTGTGTTTGTAACCTTTGAAACTGCTATCTGGTGGCTGGTCTTTATAGTATTACTGACAACAGATGGCAAATGGCTCCGCTGATGTAATTCTTGCTAGTGTTTCATTCCTGTGAAGTTGCACAGTTTCAAAATCTCAGAAAGTGCCTCCATATTTTTTCCGCGTAATGATTTCAAGCCAAACTAAATAAAAACATTTTATATTATTCAAATTCCCATGGTGTCATGTGACATTTTTGTAATGATTGCCTTGCAGCAGTTTCAGATAAGTGCACGTTTGGTAGCAATTTAAGGCCTGTGTCCTTTAAGTAATGCTTATTAGTACGTAACAGATGCTGTTTAGAAACATTATGCCTTTTAATAGGCTCTGCTTTTAGACTACATGTTCTCATTCCAGGCAGACTGTGGATCAGGCAAGCTTGGAGGTATGCTGTCGTTTATGCAAAGCCTAAGTCAATTTTCTGCTCTGAAGTCAAGCCATGTGTTTTTCCTTGTTTCTTCCATTCTGGTCATAGCTGCCTTGCTGTGTTTTTCCCCCCTAGTCATATCTTTGGCTGATTGTCAAGCCATTACAATCAAAACCTTTTGCATTTTTAACCACTAGCAGTGGTTTCTTTTGTCCTTACAGAAGAGCCTGTGTAAACTGAATTTAAACAATCTCAGCTTTACTGTCAAGAGCACAGCGAGCACAGAGTTAGCCCTCTGTTGCCAGCCTGTCCTTCCTTCTCTGCTTCTTCCTTCTCCCAAAAGGAGAAAAAGGGAAAAGCAGAGCCACGCTGATTTTGGAGCACCTTCAAAGACATGTAGAATAGCTGACACAATGGCATAGAGAAACAAGAGAGATGTTTACATATTTCCTCCACTACTTGCAGCTGTTTATTAAAGCAAGTTCTGAGACAGACTGAGAGGCTTGTGATTGCTAGTGTAGGTGACGTATTAATTTGCAGCCGCATAATAAATTTAGCAAAGTGAAAATTACTGGGGGAAGGGATTTTTTTTTTTTGTTTCTTTCCTTTTTTTTTCTCAAATTAATTGCTTTATTTTGAGATTAATCTGGCTGTACAAATTGCTCCTTGCAAGTAATTTGGAAAAGGCTGCTGCGCTTTCTTAGGCAGACTTATGCACTCTGCTGGTGGGAGCAGTAGATTTGTCAGATGTGTAAAGCATTTGCGACTCAAATTATGTGCTATCTGAAACTGGTATCCCTGAAGATCTGGCCAGTTGTCTCATATTTTCATTGCTACATCATTTGTTTGGGGAACATTGTCCTTTCTGATAGCAAACCCGGGCTTTCAGGTACTTTTGGTATGCCACACATGCTGCCATAGTTTGTATGAAATGAAAATAAGGGCTGTATGTAGTGCAGCCTTAGGCTTCCCACACCTGCTTTGAACGATGGTGGTAATAGGGAAATGTATTTAATGTGATACTTAAATAGTAGCCCTGGTGCCAGGTTGTGACAGTGGGTGTTTCAGCAATAATTTTAAATGCTCCTTGGTCTTAAAATACGGCTATTTGCTGAAACTGTCCTAACTGGCAGTCTGTCTGGCTTCTCCCCATGGCATGCTAGACAATTTGCCAAACTCACTTAGCATTTCCTGCCATTTCATTATTCCTTGTTTAGCAGTATGGGAGACATTGTCTTCCTCTTTTCCCTTAAGTTATAGGATGACTTTTGATGAGTGTATCCTCCTTTCTATCTTGCATCTTTGTAAAAGATTGAATTACCACTATCTACATTTGAACTTGTGATTCATAAAAGCTCTACTGCTGTTCACGGAATCTTTTCTGTCATTTTCCTTTCAAATCAGCCTCTCTGAATAACGAAAATACTTCAGTGATATATTTCAGTGTCATTTAGGGCTATGAGTCTGGTGAAGTGAGATGTAGCACTGACATAGCTGTGCTGGACGAAGCCCCTGATAAGGACACAGTCATTCTGGAAAACTTGTATATTTTTCTTGTATGTTTTACATTGTTTAGGGGATAGACAAATAATTAGGTTGACACATTTAGATTTTTTTCTTACATATGCAAGAAAATCCATACCACTGACTTCAGTAGTTGAAGTTACACTTTTCCAGGAACATTTCTGCCCATTTCTCAGTTGTATGAAAACCAGTGCATATTAATAACTGAATTCTGA